CCACATGGTGACTAGTTAGCAAAAACAGTTTTTCAAGTACATAAACCAGATATAAGTAATACCTGAAGCCAGTGAACCAAGTGATAAGGTATGGGATAAATTGGTGTCCTTGCATTAAAATATGTTCTCTACTACTTTAGGATGTAAGGCCTGAGGACAAAAATGAGACTGTTTTGATTRATACCCAAGACTCATGAGATGGTGAAATAAACTGTGGCTGGGGATGGAAATACAGATTTTGGAAAAGGAACATGAAACCTGTGAGTGCAGAGCCCTGCCTCTATCTCATATTTTGCTTGTGGCAGCAGTGGGAATATACAGGGAGAGAGACAGAGGTAGCTCGGGAGTGTAAGSTGGCTGCACCTTTTTAACAGCGACATGTTTCCTCAAACATACAACATTCCCTCCACACTCCAGTAGAGTGGCAAGTACATTTCTACAAATATGGGCCTGGTTTATATCTATTGCAAGTGAATAAGCATTGAGTCAGATCCTTCAAACRTGTTTTGAGTCCCTGTAGAGTATCAGTAGGGTTCCAGGTGTGTAAGAGTGGGAAAGACATGCAGTAGGAAAGAGTAGGAAAAACATGCTCTGTGGTGATGGATATTATTACAAAGTCTGTTGGTAGTGCAAACAATCCTCTGATCATCAGAGATGCAGTGACTCTATCGGCCTTGAAAAGATCTTTTGGGAAAAAAAACCCACAGACTAAATGTGTTTTGGTCTTTAGTTGCCTGCGGAAAGGCACTGAGAGATTTAGTGGCATTTTTCACATTAGCAGGTGGCTCTAAATCAACTCAATGAGATTTAAGCAGTTCCATCCTACAAAGAAAGGGTGGCTATCTTGGGTTTTTAAGCACTTAAATGCATTTATCAGCCTAGACTTTCATATTTTTAATATTATTTTGTGAAGAAGAATTTTGCTACTGACATTTCTAGTCCATGAGATATTCCAGTGTTTCTGTAAAAAAATTCAGAACAAAATATACACATTTTAATATGTCCCACAGCATGAATTTTTAGAGAAACTTCCATACATAGCCATCAAAATAGCTTGGTTTTCTACTGCTAAATTCAAGTTCTTTGAAGTTCTACTTTATATAAAAATTTTAATATATGTAATAGGCTAAAACCCAAGTACTTTTAAAAGYTATTTTAAAAGGACAGAAAGCCTAACTAAACAAAATATTCCTGCCCTGTTCCAACTGCATTTTTCAATGCAAATTTGACCTGTTTATGGAWGTAAGTATAATGAAATACACAGGTAATTCATAGGTAATTTCTGGTGCAATATTGCTTTAGGTGTATTTGCCAAAATACAGATGGASCAAAACAATATAATTTGGATTTAGMTTTCTCTTTTTTTATTATTCTACTATAAGAGTTAAAAGAACCATCAATAGAAAAGATAGCAAGCATCAGTGGGAAGGGCTGAAAAATTTAGTCAGTGTGTTTGTTTCTTCACTTTGGTAAAACACCCAAGTCTGTGTATTTTTTTGCACCTTTTTATTTTTGCTTTTGCAAAGACTTTGACAAATTGACTCTTCACACCCACACTGGAAATTGTCAGCAGCTCACAGCCAGGTAGCATGGCTGTCCACATTATTACCTGTTTTATGCAGTGGTGCTTCAAGGATATTGAACAATATGTAAAATTTTTACATTCTCTAAATCTGAAGGGGATTATTTGAACCTCATAGGAAAACTGTGCATAAAAAGGCAACATTATGCTCCAAGCAATGTGAACTAAGAAAGAATATATAAATACAGCCTGAGACCAATAAAGCTGTAACTGCAAATCCACTGTGGCTGTAAATGATTTCTCTTTAATAATGAAATACCACACTGGCAAAAATGAATGTATAACTTAAGCCACCCCAACCCTTATTGGACTACAAGATAATGGTATTTTAAAACAGAGAGTCCTTTCATTCTCTAGAGTCCTCTTTGGTCATGTTTCAAGTTTTCTTCTGCAACTAGGAGGGCTAAAATCTAACTTGAAAAGATGTGGAAACCAAGACTGTCATACAGTCACTTGTTCTGGGGCTTGAAGTGAAACTCCAGATATCCCAACACTGGCAGTAACACCACAGTTGGCAGCAGTACTGATGACCACATTTCTCTGTAAAACAAAGCACACGTTGGCACTGAAGCCAAGTTTCTTGGTTTGAGGAAAGAAATAAAAACATTTATTCAATRAAGGGAAACTTATTTGCTGGTAGGAAGGAAAAGAGAATAATTCTGTTCAGTTAACAAATAAAAGAATAATCTTTGCTGCAAAGATCTCCGGAAGCTTTTGAAACCTTAATTTTTCTTTTTAAAGAAAAATAACTGTTTCCAGTGATGAGAGTTGTGAGAATCCCTTCTGCAGCTCAGATAATCCAAGCCAGAAGCTACAACTCAGTTTTAGCCAGATTTTTTCTTTCAGTGAGTTATTTGAGCTGTCCCTTTTCTGTTCCTATKATTTCTCACTGTGCATGCTGCTGCTGCTGCTACTGCCCAAGTTTGATCTAGCAGAAGTTAGCTGCCTTTGAAGGTGACATGAGTATCTGAGAGGGACCTTGTTCTCTTAATGCTTCAGRGAGTAGAAAGTTCTGTTAGGACTCTCTGTCACAGAACCTGAGTTACRTGACATGGTGTAGGGCAAAGATGCTTGGCCCTTTCTCTTTCTTTCCCTCCCAACCCTTTGTGTGAGGCTGGGGAGGCTTTTCTACACTTGTCCCTACATTACAGGTGGCTACTGCAGGGCTGCAACACTTTGTGCCCTTTCTGCCTCCAGTAAATTGCAGGGAACCACCATAGTCATCATCTCCAACTGCAGAAACTGTACGCTGAGCACTCCTTGGGCTGCTGCTGTACACATGAACAGCAAACCATTACTTGTTTAGACATTCAGATAGTTTCTCTGGATCTCAAAACCCAAGGAAGKGATTCTGTCCTCATGTCTTCATGTSTCTTTAGATTTTGYWGAGGTTTCATTTCAGTCAATAAAGCAATATTCCTTTCTGTATCTTTCTTCAGCATTAACATTTCAGGTGGTGGCAATAAAAGGTTAGAGTCCCTCTTACCACATCAGAAGCAGTACTAACCTGGGATGAATTCACTCTCTGCGTTCAGATTTGTCATCTTTATTGAAGGCTTTCTGCTGCAGTAGTTATTGCTTTCCTAGCCCATTCTAACTTTAKGTCCTACGTCAGCAGAAAATGAGCATAAAAACAGAGCACTGGTGCAACTCCCTGCCATATGCTCTGATCAACTTGGCRAAAGTGTCATTGTGTGGCCCACCACTTTGAGTCAAGTTTGTATTCCTGTGGGATCCTTTTCAATAATGCTGAAATCACAGTCCTGCYAAGGAGAACTTACATGTTTGCATTTCTAATGGGTGCAAACATCTAAGTTTGTCCAAACCAAGTGCCAGAAACTCATTGTCTACCATCAGATTTCTGTTGAGCACCAGCCTCTATCACCTGCAATAAGCAGAGGATGTGTCARTCTTCAAATGTAGCAATGTAATTTCTTTAAACAAAAGTTGTGTCAGTCTTCTCCCAATTAACAAGCAATAGGACAAGAGGAAGTGGTCTCAAGTTGCATCARGGGAGGTTCAGGCTGGATATGAAGAAAGATTTCTTCACTGAAAGAATGTTCAAGCATTGGAACAGGCTGCCCAGGGAAGCAATTGATCCATCATCCCTGTAGGTATTCAAATGATGTGTACATGTGGCACTTCAGGACAGGGTTTAGTGGTGGGTTTGGCAGCTGGATTCAATGATCTTAAAGGTCTTTTCCAACCTAAACAATTCTATAATTCCACACATAATGCCAAGGTGCTACCATCTTCCTCATTCCATGAATAAAACAGCACTGTGGCTGGAAGCACTGTGGCTTAGCTCCTGGGGCTAAGGAGCTGCATGTGAAGCCACTCTGAAACTTCCCCTTAYAGTTAGAACCTGTTATGAAGAAAAAAAAAATCTCAATTACTGAAATAAGTAGAGTTGACTATTTAATGAGTCAGACTGTTTATGAGATCAGTATTTCCACCAGTTTTTTCCTCAGAGTTGACAGAGGGAGAAGAGCAAATTCTGCACTGCATTCTCATTGTGGTCGAAGTTTTGTGATGAATTGCCATCAGCTGCCTTGAATCGTCAAGGTGCAGAGTGCAGGAGTGTTACAAGATCATGTTTTGATAGCCTTTAACTCTAGAGCTATGCTCAGGTTTCTTTCCACAGAAATCGGAAAAATTGCTGCGAGGAGGGACACCAATGTTTCCAGGTCAGTGRATCCTAAGGAGAAGAGAGCTTTGGCAGCTGCATTCCCATCCCATGGCACAGCAAGTACCCAAACAGAAGAATAAAAAAAACTTTTCTATTGTTAATGGAGCAGACACAGTCAAGGCTGGTGGCAACTTTTCAAATTTAAAGAGGATCCATTTTCATGTAAAGAAAAAGCCCACCCCCCAACTTCAACTGCACAGCCCAGAGCCTCTCCCTGCTGAGGCACCTTTTTGGAGTCACTTCCTCTCCCTGTTCTCCTGGCCCTTGCATCCTGTTGGTTGCAGGATGGCAGATGCTCTCTCAGGGAGCCTCTCTACCTTTAACATGAAGCAGCTGTGATTTTCACCAAGGTCACCCTACACAGCCCAAGAAAGAGCCAGATGAGGGCTCTTGTTTCTTGTTTTGCTTCTCTGTTCCTGGCTGTGCTATCTCCCATTACCTGGGCTTGCTGGTTGATCACAAATGTTTGCTTTAAAAGTATCYCAAGCTACAGTGTGAAAGCTGGTGATGTATAGCATATCCTAAGGAAAGATTTGCCTCTGTTCAAAAACCTTCCTGACCTCATGACTGAAGAAGAACAAAATAGTGTATTAACAAAAACATGGTTCACTGCCAAAGAAAAGGAGTTCCTGTAAGGACTGAAACAATAAATCTCCTCTGTGCTGAACTCCCAGAGGGAGTATGTTGTGTTTCCTCCAGTTCTTTATCAAAGTCCCCAAAATAAGCAGGAATGGGCAGTGACCAGGCACAGGCTCCACACACCTTTTTCCATGGAGTAATTAAGGCCTGCCTCAGAGTGAGCAAGCACTCCCTGCCCAGCTGCATAGGGGAGAGCTGRCAGCACTACCACCACTACCAGCAAGCATGAAGCTCCTGGGAACTGCCTTCTTTCTCCTTGCTGTACTCTGTGTTTGCACTGTAGGAGGTAAGCTCTGTGGCTTTTTTGGATACACTTTCACATCTCTCGAGTGATTTGTGAACAAAAGCTTAGCTGTCAGTCGCTGGGTGCTTTTTTTCATTTCTACTGCAGTGATTGAAAGACTGTGTGTTGGAGGAGAAGGTACTAACTGGCAGTTGAGTTATATGTGTTCTGTGAAAAACTTTCCTGCCATTGTATTTTTGTGACAGCTTTCTTTCTAGATGTCATGAAGCAACTAAATTTGAGAGGAGTTAAAAGCAGAGGTATATTTACAAAAGTTTTTAACTCTGTGTTTCTTCTAAGCATTAAAGCATTTTTTTGTAAAGATGGCTTTAAGGGGGGAATTGAAATATCTGAAAGATTTGGCAATTTTTGATCTTGCAAATCAGATCCATCCTGATAGATTTTTCCATGGCACTATGCCAGCAAAAAGTCTGGCCAAGAATGTCTCCCAGAAATGATCTTAGTTTTGCCCCCAAAGATATGGGGGCTTTTATCCACAGCATTTATCAAGTGTCAGATAATGAGGGGTGCAAGCCTAGGCATGATATTAGTTACTGGATGCAATATCTTTTAGATATGATTCTTAAATAAACAGATTTAATCAAACTTTTGGTGTTCAGGTGGTCACTGAACTGATGTTTTGAGTTTATTCTTCAGCTTGAAAGATCATGCTTTTAAAATGGAATTAACTAGTAAAACCTGAAAGGGTGAGAGAAACTACAACAGGGGCTAGAGTCTATTATCACCTTTGTCAAAATATGCATTTGAAGTAAAATATGCCTTTTATGTGTATTTTCATCTCCTGGCCCTCTAGGATAAAACTTCCACAAATGTCTATAGATTGCTTSAAAAGGATCTATTAACCAGAACTTAAAAATTGGATAATGCTAGGTTAACTGATCTAAAGAAGCTGATCAACTTTTGCTCAGGTTATGTGTTGAAATCTTTTGTGTTGTATCTTGTGCTATTGCTTGGGCTCACTGCTGTTAGGAAAACAGATCAATAAAGGAGGTTAAAAATAAGCTTGTGCCACAAAAAGAACTGCTTTTAAAATTATGTTAAAYAAGTACAAACCCCAAAAGTCTGTGCTGAAGTACTATTTATTCTCTGTCTGCTAYTCCTAGTAAAAATAGCCTTCCTGTCATTGTCAAAGCTTTAATTTCACAATTTCTGAAAAGCAAAGTGGAGTTGCATCAAAAAGAGCATATTTAACACAACAGTCCATATAGCTTACCAGAAAGCAACATGCAAAGGTGGGAGGAATCCTACTAATTTTGTACAATCCTTTCTTTAAAAAAAGGATTTTCCCTCCTCTGCATGATATAAACATGGCAGAACAATGACAGTGAATAAGCATTTTTTATGTATGATACATTTGTTCTSAACAATTTTGGCTCTGTAAAAGTATTTTTCAACACTTTATTGCAAGGTAGATGTGGTGGTGAAATTCTGCTGGTAAATTCACATTAGAAAATTAAGAACATTTGTTGGGAAATTTGGAATGTGTCTTTATCTGCCTTGTGGAAGTTACATGCTCTGGTCAAGTTTCCTTCAGGCTACCCTATGCATCAAGCTGTAAAACAGAAGTGGTTTTATTGCCTGTTGTGCAAAGCTGGTCCAAAATCTTTGGATTTCCACTATTTGTGGTCTCTAAAATGCTTTGGACATTTGGGCTGTAACAGCAGAATCTTGTAATCTGAAGCTGGGAACTGATGGTCAGGGGACTCACACCAGTCTCCCTTGTGCTCATTCTCCCTCTTTTGAGTATTGGAGACAGCAACAAGACTTTTCTCCAGYTGTTTTTAGTATTTTAAAATTATGATCAGTAATCTTTAGAGAAGGTCAAATCACACCTCACGGTTTTAATACTTTCTCCCCCACGTTTTGGAGTAGYTTGCTTTCAGAGCTCACAAAGACAAATGTGTGGGCTTGCAACATTTTCATGTGCTTGTCTGTGTATCTCTTGTGTATCACGCAGAAGTGGACTTGGACATTTCGACTGTGGTTAGTAAGGAAGAAACCTGCTCTCCTATGGTGCTTCCAAATTTCATGTTTTGTCTTCAGCTGTATGCTCATAGCGCTTTTCTATGCAATTTTCTGATTTGTCTTGGAATCTTTCCTCCTCAAAAGGCCCTAATTTTTTGGAGGAGTCTGCTCTCTGTCAGCACCTTACTAGAGGCTCAGTTATGTACAGATGAGGAGGCTGATAGCCTCCTGACAACTCATCCCTCCTATCTAGACTTTTCTCAACACTTTGAGAGTTGAATGACATGCTTAAAACAGAAGTTCCTTCATGCTTCTCTCAAGGTGATTGTGTCCTCCTGGCATACTACCCTTTATTTTTACCTGTTTCAAAATGTAGCTCAGATAAAAATGCTTTCTGGGTTGGTTCATAGCATTTCCAGCTTTGAACAGACAGCACTGGAATGTGTCAAAAAATACAATGTTAAATTATAGTAATCTAATATAAATGCTTTTGAGTCTACATTAGGATGTAATTACCTTTGAAATGTGTAAAGGTGAAGTTTGTTCCTCTAAAAATGAGAGGAGAAGCCRTGGCACATGCTCATAACGTGAGTGCTCAGATGCTGCATCATCTTCCTGAACCTTGGTCTGGTACCAGGGCATGGCTGTGGCAGCAGCCTGTGTCCTCCCCAAAGTGCTGGGAGTTCACTACTGCATCTTCTCCCTCAGGCACCCAGGCTGGCTTTTTGCAGAAAGGATGGCAGAGAGGAGTGGGTTGTGCTCCTCCTGGCACCRRTCTGTGTGCRTGAGGAGCTGGAATGTGTCATCTGGTGTTGAACGTGTCCAGGGGTGTGTTATTAATGCCCCATTGCTGGCCCCTGTTGACAGCTAGAAGCAGCTTTATCCGAGTGCTCTGTCAAAATTGATGGCACTACAATAAAACAAGGGTGTTTTCCTTTCTTTGAAAGGTAGGAACAAATCTTGGCATTGAGAGTTTGGTCCAAATGCCCCTGAAGTAATTTGGACCTGTTCCATTTCACTGTGGATCAGCCTTAAAACACRTATTTCCCAGGCCCCTTCCTCATTAAGGGGAGACTGTGTAGCATCCCAAGCCTACAACACAGTTGATTAATCCTGACTCCCAGGCTGATAGCYTGAAAAAAGTTCCACTAAGCCATGGTTCCTGTAGTGATTACAAACATTTGCAGCTGTCTGAGCTCTGCTCTTGTCGATTTAARCTCGAGGAGAYGGATAGTCTTTTCCTTCTSCATCTTCTGTGCTCCCAGCTCACCAGCCCTCAAGTCTTTTAAAAATTAATTTTTAAAAGTAAATACTGTTTTGAGCAATCAAAGCTTTTGAGAATGGTGTCCACTCACTCTGGGTTATTATTCATGTTTGTTCTCTGGACAACCAGGAAGGCACAGACTGTCACAATAGGAACATTTTCTCATTTCTGAAAATTTGAGAAATTGTGAATAGTCTGTGAATAGGCTTTAGATAAGACTTTCTTACACCTTTTTTACTTGCTTGAGCCAAAACTTGGCATGTCTTGAGAATTTGCTTGTTGTGAAAAAAGAAGTTTATTTGGTTCTTTTGCTGTTGCTAGCAGTTTGCCAAGACTAGCTTTGTCAAAAATCAAATTATAGTGCTGGAGCTTATCACAGCCTTTAATCGAATATTGAATTTTTATTCCTCTACAGATTTTTTTTTGTTCTTTTTTTTTTTTGCTGCCACATTCCTTTTATTTATCAGATCTTTTGCATATTGGGCCAGTTTTTGCCTAACGGATTTTATAGGTGTATTTATTTCTGGACAGAAGAAAACTGCATGTTGTATCCCCAAACCTGAAAGCAAATTTACTGCACTTACTGAGGATAGAAGCAGATGGCTTGATACCTGCTTGATTATGATTTACAGCCAAAATAAATGGAAACAGAATATGAAGGGCAAGTTGCCTACAGCATTCAGCTCCAAACCTGGGAATACATAATGCCATATAACGTGCCTAAAAAAAGGGTTTTCTCTTCCGAAAATTTTCCAGAACATTTTCTCTTTCCTTTAGCTGACTCTTTTTATCTATATTGAAACCTAGAGTTCTTATTAACCTTTACTACTGTGTAAATTAGGAAAAAGGATCTGCTGAGGTTTGTTTTGGTATGGTTTTTTGGGGTTTCTTTTCCTAAATAGGAAAGTACCTTGAATTTGGACTCAAATTGTTTATACATCTGAATCCTGTGTGGAAAAACCTGCAAAAGTACTTGAACTTTTTTATTTTTTTGTGCTGTAATTTGTACTGCAAAAGTACAAATGAAAAATAATCTTTAAGAAACTCTTAACCTATGGAAGGGGGTACTTTTGACTGATAATATTCGGTAGCCAGACTAAGTTCAACATGTAAAGACAGTAAAATCTTATGGAAAGCAATCATTTTTATTTACRACTTTTATGAAGGGGGGAGAGGGTGGTGGTGTTTGTATTTTTTGCTGCAACATGTTGAGGAAGACTCTTTAATGRGTTCATTTTGCAGTTCTGTAAACAGAGAGACAAAGTGGGATTTGTGCGTAGAAGGTATCATTTCCAAATACAAGTAAAGAATTGAAGACCTGATTCCGTTAGAAGACAAACATGTACTTTTCAACAAGCCGTCTAAATACARGTTTTTCTATTAAAATGTAAACAGAAGGGTCAAAACCATGAACTGCACCGTGTCCTGCCATGCAAGGCACTGTCATTGTTCAAGCAGCCAAGATACCAGGTAGAGATACTTTGGCAATTCCCTTGTGAAGATGAATCCTTGGATGCCTTAACAGTGGCATGGGGTATCAGCCAGGCCTACCTGCAATAGGAAAAGGGGTTTGACACAATTTAATGTGATGTTATCACCACCCTGTGCCTTCTGGCCCTGCCTCCCCATGCAAGAAGCCTGAGCTGTTGAACACTTGCTGATAAAACGACTTGGAATAAAATTTAGCAAGTATGATCTGCTGGGGTGTTGTAGAAAGGGGGCAGGAAGCCCTCTGCTGCCACCCACACATGTA